CAAAAAAAAAAAAAAAGAAAGAAAAGAAAAGAAAAAAGAAAAGGTACAAGAATGGCCATGACAATTTTGTAAAAGAAGAAGAAGGAAAAAAAAGAACTTGTTCCAATAATGATCAAAATCTATCATAAAGCTATATTTTAAATATATACAAATACACACACCCTATAATAACAGAGAGGAAAGTTAAACAAGAGAAGAAAATAGATGTGGTCTTATTAAGATATTTTACCAATGATTAATAACTAAAAGCAAAACTCTAAAGTCACTAATTGATCATCTAGCAGTAAAACTTGAAAAGAAGATAGACAACCACAGGAAAAAACATGAATAATGAACAAACATTGTAAAAGAAGCTCAATTTCATCAGTAATAATCCAAGACTGGAAAAAAAAATTTAAAGATCTTTTGATACCCAAGCTGGAATATAATGGTCAGATCATAACTCACTGCAGCTTTGGACTTTTAGGCTCTAGCAATTCTCCTGCCTCAGCCTCCCATGTAATTAAGAGTACAGGCTCATGACATCACACCTGGCTAAGTTTTAAAAATTTTGTAGAGATGGAGTCTTGCTATGTTGCCTAGGCTGGTCTTTAACTCCTGGCCTCAAGTGATCTTCCTGCTTTGGCCTCCCAAAGTGCTGAAATACAGGCATGAGCCACCATGCCTGGACTGAAAATCTGACATTATTTAGTGTTGACAAGGATATAAAGAAAATTAGCATCCTACTGACAAGAATGTAAAATGATACAGATACCTTTTAAGGTAAACTGGTAAACTCTATCACAATTTTACATCTGATTCTTTGTATAGCCAAGTATATAGGTTAGGCACAGTGGATTGTGCTTATAATCCCAGCACTTGGGGAGACCAAGGGGGAAGGACTGCTGGAGCCAGGAGTTCAAGACCAGCCTGAGCAAGAGCAAGATCCCACCTCTATTAAAAAAAATAGAAAAATTAGCAAGGCATACTGGTGGTGCACACCTATAGTCCCAGTTACTCAGGAGGGTGAGGCAAGAGGATCATTTGAGCCCAGGAGTTTGAGGTTGCTGTGAGGTACGATGACGCACTGCACTATAGCCCAGGTGACAAAGCAAGGCCTTATCTTGAAAGGAAAAAAAAGAACATATAAAAGGAGGTCTTTTGCAACACTGTGTATAACAGGAAAAAACTGCAAATAAATACTTGTTAATACCAAAATGGCTGAAGAGTGACACAACATACTCTGGAAGACTTTCCTACACTTATGAGTTATAATTGGCATTATATATGGAATACTGCAGCACAGTTACAGTGAGATACGTTAGTTAGACAACTCACTGTGAATGAATGCATAAGATACAGAATAGGCTGTAACATCAATTACAGAAAAACAAGCCAACAAAAATGCCTAACGCAACAGTGATGACCCGGAACAGGAAGCAAAGAAAACCTGCATTTGGTGTAGGCTCAAAGAGGACATCCAACTTATCTATACATTTAATTCTTATAAGAATAATTTATTTGTGATTAAAAGTTAAAATTTTCATGGCATCTACATATTATTTGATTTCAAGCAAAGTAGATGTTATTTTACAGATATCCTTCCTAATAAATCCTCATTTCATATATGGGTACCAAATATACCAAATGCTAAAAATATATTTTCCTTAGGATAAATTTTGGGAAGATGCTAAAACCATAAAATTATAACAAATACCAAAAACCATCTTTAAAAACAATAAAGAAAAATCACTTCTCTTTTCTGACCAATTTTATAAGTTAAAATATATGTATATTTACTTTGCAAATAAAAACTCTAGAGAAGTTAAACATCTCACAACTGATACTTCTCATGTAAAGTTTTAAATAAATGAACTACTCCTTAAGAATAAATATCACATTTGGGAATTAACTCATTTAGGTTTACTGTCTATCATTTTCTTTTCTTTCTTTCTTTTTTTTTTTTGAGAAAGGCTCTCACTCTGCCACTCTGAGTAGAATGCTGTGGCATCATCATAGCTCACAGTAGTCTTTTGGGCTTGAGAGAGCCTTGAGAGAGCCTCTTGCCTCAGCCTCCCGAGTGCTGGGACTACAGGTACCACCACAACACATGGCTAGTTTCTCTATTTTTAGTAGAGACAGGGTCTTGCTCTTGCTCAGGCTACTCTAGAACTTCTGAGTTCAAGTAATCTACCTGCCTCAGCCTCCCAGAGTGCTAGGATTACAGGCACGAGTCACTGCACTGGCCTTGTCTACCATTTTCTAAAAGGAGAAGATCACCATAAGCTGAAGTGTGCTTTCCAAAGACAGCACATCAAACCACCTTTTATTTCTTTCCAAGTACTCTCCCTTTTTCATGGTACTACCAGGATTGGGGATGGGGTGCACGGCGAGGTAAAAAAGACTTTGCACAGGTTTATTTGCCAATCAAGGCACCTTTAGGGAAGCAGAAGAGCTTTTATGACTTCATCTGTGGTAAATTTCAGTAAGTAGCATATCATATGTATCACTACCTTTTTAGTATAGGATAAAATAAAACACCAAGTTAATTCTTAAATATAAAGGAATAACTTCATTCTATTTTCCAAGTACTAGTTATATAGCTCACAATAAATAACGATGGCATCTTTTTATTTTATTTCTTTTTTTGAGACAGAATCTCACTACGTCATCCTTGTAGAGTGCCATAGCGTCACAGCTCACAGCAACCTCCAACTCTTGGGCTTAAGTGATTCTCTTGCCTCAGCCTCAAGTAGCTGGGACTACTGTAGGCATCTGCCACAACACCCAGCTAATGTCATTGTTGTTTTAGCAGACCCTGGTACCCATCAGCCCCGGTGTATGTGGCCAGCACCCTAACCACTTAAGCTACAGGTACCAAGCCATTTATTTTTTAGACTAACACTCCCAAATAGCTGACATGTGAATCAAATGAAAGTGTAAGAGACAGACTAAAATATAACAATAATACTCTTCAATCTTATATATGGTGGTGAAATAATGATGGCAGGATATTCATAGAGTGCTTACCAGGTATCAGGTCATGTTTTTGTATATTTTCTCATGTTTTGTATATTATCTCATCTAATTATTCATATCTCAATAACCTCATTAAGTAGTAATATTATTTCACAGATGAAAAGCCTGAGAGATAGGCTCAGTGCCTGTAACTCAGTGGTTAGAGAGCCGGTCACAAACATTGAGGCCGGTGGGTTTGAGCCTGGCCTGCTAAAAACAATGACAACTACAACAAAAAAATAGCTGGGCATCGTGTGGGTGCCTGAGGCAAGAGAATCGCTTAAGCTCAAGAGTTTGAGGTTACTGTGAGCTGTGACACCACAGCATTCTACCAAGGGTGAGATTCTGTCTCAAAAAAAAAAAAAAAAAAAAAAGGGAAAGAAACAAAGAAAAGCCTGAGACCAAAAGGTTAAACAGCTTGCTGAAACTGGTGGAGCCAAAATTAAAACCCAAGAAGTCACTCCAGAGCCTCACTCTTAACCACCACTATATACTGCACACTATAAGACAAAATGCTGGGCACTTAAGAATAGATTAGAAAAAATGTAAAATTTAGTTAAATTTTAAAAGATGCAAAATTCTTTACACTTCTCAAAATTCTAGACACGTAAGCTAAGCTTACCCTGCATATGTCCGTTGATATAGAGATTCTGGATCCAGACTTGCAGCATCCACAATTATCACTTCATCAAAATTTTTCAGTATTTTAATACTGGCTTTTTTAACACTGGACTACAAAAAAAATTGTAAAATTAGTAGCATTATGATTCAGGAAACAAATCAATCCTGAGTCTGGAATATGATAGATTTGGATAAAATTTTCTTTAGTGTTTCAAATTCATATAATTTTCACTCAACTCTATTACTACTGCAAGGCTTAACAGAAATGATTCTGAAATGTAACTTTAAACCATAATCACAAGAGGAAAGCATATCATTAAAATGTATAAGGTACGCATTTGTATGCCAAATGTTTTCTTAATGATCTAACAACACTCTGTTCTGATGGGCAATACTTCCCCAGTGTGCAAAACTCTCATCCATCCATAAGTTGTCCAACTTTACATGGCAAACGTGAATGTTTCTGATTCTCAGTGAGGCAGTGTGACAATAAAGCTAAAGAAATCTTTTTAAGATGACTAGGTAGCTGAGGAGAGGAAGTTTCCCTTCAGCATTCTACCTCCTACTCCCTATCCCCACAAGAAAAGCAAGTCAGAAATGGTACTCTTATGAAATGGATAGCCATGAGTTGACCCAGAAATTCCATTTCTAAAAATTCAATTACAGATAGATTTCACACTTATGTAAAATGCTTATATACAAGATTATTCACTGCAGTACTTTTTAAAATAGTAAGAGACAGCAACAAACTTAATGTCCATAACTAAGAGACAGGTTAAATAAATAAAATACTTATACAGACACTTTCAGAACACTCTATATGGTGAGGGAAAAGGGGGTACCTTGACGTGCTGAGAAGGAGCAATCTCCAAGACACACAGTTAAATCAAAAAGAAAGAGGCAACAGAATAAATAAAAACTAATTCTATGAAGCTATTCAAACACCAAAATTTCACTATCACTTTCTGATTACTATAAAGCAATAGTAATCAAAAAACAGTATAGTATGGGCGGCGCCTGTGGCTCAGTGAGTAGGGTGCCAGCCCCATATACCGAGGGTGGCAGGTTCGAACACGGCCCCAGCCAAACTGCAACAAAAAACAGCTGGGTGTTGTGGCGCAAGCCTGTAGTTCCAGCTACTTGGGAGGCAGAGGCAAGAGAATCACCTAAGCCCAAGAGCTGTAGGTTGCTGTGAGTTGTAACACCATTGCACTCTATCGAGGGCCACAAAGCAAGACTGTCTCTAAAAAAACCAAACAGTATAATACAAAAAAAAAAAAAAAAGTGTAGTACTGGCATAAGGACAAACATACGGATCAATGGAATAGAATTGATAATCCATAATACACCCTCACATTTATGGTTGATTACTGACAGAGTTAAAGTATTAACTTATGAATAAGTATTAACTTATGAATATAGATATAAAATCTTGAATAAAAGACTAGAAAACTGAATACAGCAGCATACAGAAAAGACTACAGGGCCAGACACGGTGGCTCATGCCTATAATCGCAGCACTCTGGGAACCAAGGCAGGAGGATCTTTGAGGCCAGAAGTTCTAAGACTAGCCTATGCAAGAGCAAGATTCTATCTCTACAAAAAATATAAAAAATTGACTGGGCATGGTGGCGTGCACCTATAGTTCTAGCTACTAGGGAGGCTGAGGAAGGAGGATCCCTGGAGCTCAGGAGTTTGAGGTTGCAGTGAGTTATAATGATGTCAATGCACTCTAGCCAGGGTGACAGAGTAAGACACTGTCTCCCGCTCCCTCTAAAAAAAGGAAAAGAAAAGAAAGGATTATATACCATGACCAAGTGGGGTTTATCTCAGGAATAGAAAGTTGGTTTAGTAACATGTGAAAATCAATTAATGTAATGCATATCAATAGAATAAATCTCTATAAAATAAAATCCAAAACGCATAAGATCATTTTGATACAGAAAGAACATTTAACAAAATCCAATACTCTTTCATGATTAAAAAAAAAAAAAACTTACTAGAAAAATTAGAAATAGGCTTGGTGCCTACAGCTCAGCCACTATGGCATCAGCCACATACATTGAGGCTGGCGAGTTCAAACCTGGCTTGGGCCTGCTGAACAACAATGACAACTGCTGCAAAACAACAAAAAATAGCTGGGCGTTCTGGCGGGCACCTGTAGTCTCAGCTACTTGGGTGTTACTTAGACATAACACCATCTGAGGCAAGCAAATCACTTAAGCCCAAGAGTTTAAGGTTGCTGTGAGCTGTGATGCCATAGCACTCTACCGAGGGAGACATAGTGAGACTCTGTCTCAAAAAAATAAAAATTAGAAATAGTGGGGAATTTCCTCAACTTGATAAAGAGCATTTATTAAAAGACCACAGTTGGGCGGCGCCTGTGGCTCAAAAGGGTAGGGCGCTAGCCCTGTTATGCCAGAGGTGGCAGGTTCAAATCCAGCCCTGGCCAAAAAAAAAAAAAAAGCCCACATTTACCATGATATTAAATCATGAAAACTGAAAGCTGTCTCTGTGAGATTAGCAATAAGACAAAGTGTCTGCTTTTGCCTCTTCTATTCAACATCTTATTGGAAGTTCTAACCAGAGTAATTAGGCAAGAAAAGGAAATAAAAGGAATCCAAAGTGGATAGAAAAAAAGATCTCTACTCATAGACAACACAATCTTACACATATACAAAACCTTAAAGAAGCCACAAGAAAACTATTAGAGCTAATTAACAAGTTCAGCAAAGTTGAAGGTACAACATATAAAAATCAGTTGTACTGTCTGCACGATCAATGAACAATCTAAGAATGAAATTTCTAATTTTATTTATAATAGCAATACAAAGATAAAATACTGAGGAACAAATGACCCAAGAAGGTGCAAAACTTGTACACTGAAAATTACAAAATGTTGCTGAAATGAGAAAAAAACACAAATGAGAATATATCCTGTGTTTATGAGCTATAAGACTTAATATTTTAAAAATAGAAATACTCCCCCAATCTACAGATTCAAGGCAATCCTGATCAAAATAAAAAAGCTGACCCTAAAGTTCATATGGAATTGCAAGGAACCCAGATAGACAAAACAATCCTGAAAATTAAAAATAATAATAATGTTAGAGGACACACACTTCCTCATGTCAAAACTCACTATTAATACAAAGCTGCAGAGATCAAAACAATGTGGTACTGGAACAAGGACATAGAAACCAATGGACTAGAAATGAGAGCCCGGAAATAAATCCACACATCTACGGTCAATTGATTTTTGGGAAGGATACCAAGATGATTCAACAATGAAAGAAGAGTTCTTTTCTAACAAATAGTGGTAGGACAACTGGATAGCCCCATAATAATGAAGTTGAACCTCTACTTAGACAATATGCAAAAAAACGGATCAAAGACCAAAAACTCTTATTAAGAGAAAACACAGGGATCTGCAAACCATGAAGACTTTACATTTTGCAATGGTTCTTAGATGTAACACCAAAGCATACAACAAAAGTAAAGTAGATAAAGTCATCAAAATTAAAAACTTTTGTGCTTCAAAGGACACTCCTAAGAAAGTGAAAGGCAACCTACAAACCTGGAGACCACATGTGCCAACCATTTATCTAATTAGGATCTATTACCCAGAAAAAAAAAAAAACTCTTAAAACTCGACAACAAAAAGATAAATTTTTTTTAAATGAGGAAATAATTTAAGTAGACATTTCTCAAAAAAAGTTATATGAATAGTCAACAAGCACATGCAAAGACATTAAGTACCATTAGTCATCATGGAAATACAAACAAAACCATAAAGAGATGCTACTACATACCATTAGTATGGCTATAATCATCAATATAGAAAACAACAAGCGTTGGTAAGGATGTAGAAAAACGGGAAGTCTTGTACACTGATGATGAGAATGTAAAACGGTATAGAAGCTGTAGAAAACAGTTGGGCAATTTCACAAACATTTAAACATAGAATTAACCTATGACCCAGCATTTCCATTCTTAGGTATATACCCAAAAGAACTAAAAACAGGTATTTAAAAGTTTGCACCCAAGTGATCATAGCACCATTCATAATAGTCAAAAGGCAGAGACTACTCAAAAGATGAAAACAATGGGATATGAAATATTATTCATTCACAAAAAACCCCAGAAATACAGATTCCTGCTACAACATGGATGAACCACAAAACATTATGCTAAGGGTGAGAAGCCACACACAAAAAAAGTCACATATTGTATGATTCCATCAATATGAACCACCCAGAAGAGGCAAATCCATAAAGAGAAAAGGAGGTTAGTGGTTGTGAGGAAGAGACAGAAGTGGGAGCGGTGGGGGAGTGACTGCTTGATGGGCATTAGGTGTCTCTTTGGGAAGATGAAAACATCTGCAACTAGCTAATGATGACGGGTGCACAATGCTGGAGATAACGTTAAATGCCACTGGATTATACAATTTAAAATGGTTAAATTTATGTTAAGTGAATTTTACCTTCATAAATGGTTATTTCTAGATTCTTGCAATGGATAATTTGAATATGAAATTAAGAAAACAATTCCATTTATAATGGCATCAAAAAAGACTTAGAGAAGGGCTAGGCATGGTGGCTCATGCCTATAATCCTAACACTTTGGGAGGCCGAGGCAGGTGGACTGCCTAAGCTCAGGAGTTTGAGATCAACTTGAACTAGAGGCAAGACCCTGTCTCTAAAAATAGCCAAGTGTTGTGGCAGGTGCCGATAGTCCCAGCTACTTGGGAGGCTGAGGCAAGAGAATTGCTTGAGCCCAGGAGTTTGAGGTTGCTGTGAGCTAAGATTGCACAGCACTCTTCCATGGGTGACAAAGTGAGACTCTGTCTCAAAAGAAAAAAGAAAAAAGAAAAGAAAAAGAAAAGACTTAGAAATGAGAATAAAAACAAAAAAATTTAGGAATAAATTTAAGAAATACAAAACATACTCTGAAAACTACAAAACATTGTTGAAAAAAATTAAATTTGAAATGAAAAGACACCCATGTTCACAGGTCAAAAAACTTAATATATAAAGATGATAAAAGATGATAATACTCTTCAAAGTAACCCATAGCGTTAAGACAATCCCTATTAGAATCCCAGTGGGCTTCTCCATAGAAATTGACAATTGACTCTAAAATTCAAACAGATACTTACAGACCCCTGAATAGCAAAAACAATCTTAAAAAAGAACTAAGTTGGAAGACTTACAGCTCCTGATTTTAAAACTTACTACAAAGCAACAATAATCAAGACAGCACGGTACCGACATAGGTATGCAATGGTTTCTTAGACATGACATCACAAGCAACAACAACAAAATAGATAAACTGGACTTCATCAAAATGAAAAACTTCTGCAGTTTAAGGGACATATCAATAGTGAAAAGACAATTCACAGGATGGAGAAATATTTGTGAATCAGGTGTTTCACAAGGGACATGTATCTAAAATATATAAATAACTCCTGTAATAAAACTCATAATAAAAAGACAACCCAATTTAAAAATGAGCAAAGGATTTGAATAAACATTTCTCTAAAGGCAGAAAAAACCAATAAGCACATAAAAAATGCATGATATCATTACTTATCAGGGAAATAAAATGAAAACCACAATGAAATAGAACTTTATACACATTAGGATGGCTATAATCAAAAAGACAGGGAGTTCTGGTGAGATGTGGAGAAACTGTAAACTTTATATACTGCTGGTGGGATTACAAAATAGTGCAGCTACTTTGGAAAACTGGCCATTTTTCAAAAAGTTAAACACAATTATTACCTGACCCAGCAATTCTACTGCTGGGTATACAGAAAAAGAGAAATGAAAACATACATCTACACAAAAAAAGTTGCACAAAATGTTCACAGCAGCACCATTTATAACAGCAGAAAGGAAGGAACAACTCAAATGCCCATCAGCTGACAGATAAAATGGGGCATATCATCACAATGGGATTATTTGGCAATAAAGAGGAATAAAGTTCCAATACTTATTAATCATACATGAATCTTGAAGGCATGAAGCTAACTGAAAGAAGCCACAACAGACCACATATTACATGGTTCCATTTATATGAAATGTCCAGCACAAAAAACCTACTGTTTCCACAGAGACAACACACACACACACAAACTCAGATTAGTGGTTACCTAGGGCTGGAGGAGTGGATATTTGGAGTTTAAGTAAATGAGTGAAAACCTGTTCCAAAAAAGAATACATATGCATAATATGATTTCATTTATAAAATGACAAGCACGGTAATGAGCAGGTGATGCTTATTCAAGACCTCAAAAGCCGTGATAGCAGCCCCTGTGGGGGAGAAAGACAGCTGTGAGAAGGGAGCCCAGGAGGGCTCTGGCATGTTGTTACCGTGCCGTTTTTCCACCTGGATGCTGGTTACATGGGTGAGTTTTGTGAGAATTTTTTTTTAAATTTTGAGACAGGGTCTTGCTCTGTTGTGTGGTGTTTGTGAAAGTTCGTAAAGATGCATATAGTTATGAAATGTGCGGTTTTCTGTGTGTATCGGATACTCCAATAAAAAGCATAGTATATATTTAATGATTAGTACTAGACCTTTTAAGTATCTAAACCAAAACAAGACACTATAGCCTATATAGATTAAAAAAAATGGTGACCATACTGAGCAGGTCACCTTTTATGTAAACGTAACAGGAAGATAAGGCACTGAGAGCTTGTTGAGGGTGATACTATACTGCTGTCTTATAAACTAAAAAAATTTATCCAAGCAAGGCTCAGTATAAAAATATTCAAAGGGCTGTTTGTTAGTAATGATGAGAAAATTATTATGCTATATATTATTAAGGGTACAGTGAAGAAAATACCAGATAGGAAATATTTGTGGTCCTAATATTCAACTGTTTGACTTTAATAAAATTAATTAACATCTTAATGTTTCCCCAGATCTCTCGTGAGGGTATCCCATTTCATGGGATTTTGAGGTAAAACAAATAAGATTTGATGTATGAGAGGACTCTGAAAAAACAAAAAAGGTTAAGGAGGTGTAAAATGTGGCACTGTAGTTCAAAATGAAATCAAAAGGCTTTGAGTGAAATGTAATACTAAGAAACCTAAGAGTTCACTCAATTATCCTATACAAAAGCATTTTAAAGTAATTAATTAAAATTTTCTATACATGTTTCTTCACAAAACATACAAAGCAGCAGTGGTTTCACACTTGGTTGTTAGGCTTGCTGTTTATCCACAACAGAGGCATCTAATGGTTTATCATTTGTGATTCCTGTGAACTTTTTTTAAGCACAGAAAAGCTATTTAGTGTGAAACTATATTTCATCTCTGAAATAGCTGCTAGCAAGGAAATTGAAAGAGGGCTTTATTCAACTTTGAATTCCACTAAGTAAGAAGGGAGTCATTCTTGTAAGGCTCTACACGGGTCATGGGTATAGTTATGCCACCGGGCCAGGTAGTCCAATAACACATCCTCTGGTATATGTACGCTAATTACAGAAAAGACACCCTAAAGGGAGACACACATACAGAATGGGTAACAGTTCTTATGATCAGGTTTGTTGATGCTGTACCAGTCAAGGTCGTTTCTGATAGTCTCTCTTAGCAGTCCT